TGTTCATAACTACTAGTCTTGTTTATTTCGATATAATGTTAGATCTTTAGGTTTTATGTCTGTCTTTGAATTTTGACTTTTAAAGTGATTTTATTCATTTTTAGTTTAGTCGAACTGATGATGGAGCTGGACTCCGAAACGTTTTCAATATCGATATGGTGAATTTTCTTGGCGTTTTCTTTGCTTTTAAATTCCTTGTGAACTTACGATATAAGCAGACTAATGATATAAGTGCTAATGGAATTATCTAATAATCACGGTGAGAGCCCGGTAGAACTTCTGTAATATGATGATATTGATCTTTGTGATACTTCCACTGAGTTTTAAAATGACTCGACTGCCAAGTTCTCTCCGATTGCTCAACGGTAGAGGGTTGGCTTTGCGCTAGGTAGATCGGAGTTAAAATCGTGGGCAGGAACTTTCTTCAAGTTGATTTCTCAGAAGGTATGTGTCTGGGACTGGGCTAATTTGTTCCTGCTACATGTCTGACATTGTTACTTGTCCTGCCATGGTGTATGCGCATACTTAGTCCTCGGAATGTATGATTGTATGAATCAATATCAATAAATGTTAATGCATTGGATTTAAAACTGAAAGGAAATTTTTTATCGACTTCATTTTAAAGCTGGCTATCGGTGGTCTTCGATGCGCCACCGTTGACAGTGGGCAGTTATTAGTGGAAGATGAGATTTTCGGGCAGGGTCGCCATCGACAGGTTATAGGTGAAAAAAGGTTGGACCATCAATGCGCCATCGGTTCTCCACCTATAATTTCAGCCTAGAGCCACCGATAATCTTCGATGTTCCACCAATAATTTTTATTTGGGTATATGCGGTCCACTTGGCAGATGTAATAGAAATGCGATTCGTTTTGTATTGGTAATGTCTATCTAATTGACTAGGAAATATTTTATCTTTCAAACACTGGGGCAAGACAAAAAAAAAACTAGGGACCACTGCTGCTTAAATGACTATCAATGGAAGTACAAGATTCACATTAAATCTCCGCTGGTGATGATATGTGAATGGATTTGATCTCTGTATACGGTTAATTATTGATGAGTACATCATGATCTTGTGGTGTCGAACTGTAGTAACGAACTATGGTAATGGTATAACTATATGCAACTGTTCAGACAATTTCAATTTGAACTTTATTCTGGAAGTGGATCAGATAATTTACTGCCGAAATAAAGATTTATTGAAAGCATCCAAATAAATTCATGTGTACGGATGGAATTGGTTTAGCGCACAATTGCTAGTTGAAATTGTAAAATTATTTATTAAAAGTCTTTATTCTATGCAACTACAAGGCCAACGTTATAAAGAGAAGTTCGTTCAGTTTCACTTCATGTCCGAATTTTGGACGATATTACATTCCATGGGCAGTCGTAATACGTCAAATAAATACAAATGTGAGTCAAGAAAGGCTAATTTCAAAGTTACACATATGCTCCGTACCTGGGAAAGCAATGTTCATGTCATTTGAATAGCAAAGCGATAAAATATGCAATATGTCATCTATTACGTCATACAACGACCTGATATCATGCAAATTGCGTCATAAATGGCTGCTCAAACATAGCAACCTAGCTGTGACGGGAACGAAGCGCGTCGACGACCTCATAATCCATGCACCCGACGCGCTCCGGCATGACAAGAAGCTTGTAATTCCTACTGATGGTTATACGGCCACTTTTGTTCCGGCGTCAGAACAGGCGCGTTTGCTGTGACGTAATCGGCTCTATTACACATTTTTCATCTCAACTCCCTGTCATGAAAAAATTATTGGCACACTTCATATACTATTTTATCTTATATTGAGTTATGAATAAAAAAAACGATAAACACAATACTTGACTCTCTACCGCCAAAATTGTCATATGAATTTTGTGGATTTAGATTGTCGTGAACGCTCGATTTGTATCTCTGAAGCACGTTGCAATGCCTAAATTTCTATAAAATATTTTTGGAGAACGTGTCAAATTTCTATTTATTTGAATATTTTCAAATTCCAGTAGGTACGACATTATTTTCTGGCACAAGCGTTTCAGGGTACCAGAAAATATTCACTACCTATAGACGACAGAACGCGAGGAAGCTTCTTCAAAATGCATGTTGTTTTTGCTCGAATCAACTACAAGTTGATGGCTTAGAGGGAAGTTAAAACGAGTTTGTCTTCTGCAAGCAGATTGTAAAAGCGTAACGTATGCTCGAGTTATGCAATGCAGTCACGGGGGAAATGTGGTAGCAATGATATACCAGTTTTATATTTTCTAACTATCTGCTCACGAACTATTAAGCATAAGAGTCCAATGAAAACAGCCGGAGGGATTTGATAGTTACTCCAATAATGTTTTCTTGAATTAAAAGCAGTTGATAACACTTGCCGCGAAATAAACATCCTGATTTTTTAAAGTTTTAGTGTTCACAAGCAAAGCCCAATGCTGCCTTCTTTTGAACATTCAAAGAACTCAACATTTTCCAGAAAACTGTCACATTTTCTTGTCCAAATTTTAGAATTCAATTTACAGCATAAAAGAAGCAAAGAATGCGCATTCATTGAGCTTCAGTCTCTGTAGAATAATAGGGCCAGTTTGAATTGGTAATGTAATCTTCTCAGCCACAAGAAAGAATTTTACATAAAGTCATTAAAGTTTGAATTGCGAAAAATTTAAATACAGTGCAATACCAAGCTTGCTTTGGTTAGTTCTGGTCAAGATGACTTAAGAACACTTTAATCTAAAACAGACAATAATACGTACAAAAGCTCATAACCTTTTTGTTTTAAAAATCGGTCAATTATTTATTTTCACTACACGTTATGAAAGCAAAGACATGAATATCAAGGTTTTGTCTTGTCCAAAATATTCATTCTTAGTTGTCCCCACAGACAATAGACGCTTCAAAAGGCATTTACTACTTAATGAATTAAATTTGAATTTTTAAATGTTTTCAGCTTGCTAGAAAAATGCCATGTATTTATTCTAATGAATATAACTAGCAAGTCTCACCTGCCGTGACACGAGCTCGTGCAGCTGCCCGCGCGACACCCACGCCGAGCAGATCATGTGTTGCACGGCGAGCAGAACACCGCCGACAGTAGCCTCGAGTAGACGTAGAGGTAGGAATGTGTAGGTCACGTAGATGAAGAATATTACGGCCCATAACCCTGATGATGCTGTCTGGTGTTCAGGAAACAGCATAACTAGGAGATCTAAACCAAAAAACGAAGCCAGGACAATATATGAAAATACGTACAAAGCGACTTCGTTCTGCACCCATGATCGGATAAGTAGAACTTCTAGGACGCCATAAAGAATGAGAAGGCTGCCGAGGAAGGCAACCGTAGTATAAGAAATGGAGTCACTAGCTAGGTACACCGACACTCCGATGATCGAACTTATGACTATGATGAGAAGTGCCAGAAGAACCGTCAGGTTCGACTGGTTCATGCGAAGAAAGTATCTTTGATAAAGCACTTCCACATGAATGTTCTTAAACTGAGACGATTTGAATATCCGGAGACACAGCGTGGGCACGTCCCACCAGCCACGTCGCTCGTGTACGAGGCTCTCTTCGTCATCTTCGAATCGGGACTTGGCTTCTTTAGGACTACGAGGCGAAGACGAGGTGCCGACGAGCCCGGACTTGTGGTAGTGCTCGATGACCTCCCAGTTAGACTTTTTGGGCGGCAGTGTGGCCTCGGCGACTGACGATGAGGGCTCTGCCGACGACGAGCCGTTGGCCTTCGAGTGACGAAGCGACGAGCTGCGAGGGCCAGACTCTCCCGCTTCCTGGGGGAAACAAAAAGCAATTGCTCAACATTTTCTTCAGGACTAAAAACTCGCATATTCCACACAGAAAATATGCGACAATTGTTTTTCGTTCAATTATTTGAAAAATATCCGTCAGGAAAAAACTGAATTGAAGGTACAAGACTACCTAAAACATTCAAAAGACAATGAAATTTATATCAAGCTGAAACTGAACAAAAGTAGTGGGATGTCATTTAATGAATTTGAAAAGTTAAATAAAATATTTCTTGAATTCATCTGTCAAAATTGACAATAAGAAAGCAGAATTGCCAACTCACTATTTTATGAGAACACGATCCACTACAAAATTAAGACAAATATACATTTAAAAGTAAGCTTGGTACGTGCTACGGTGGACGTCTTCTTCAACAACAAAAAATTAAAAACCGAATTTAACGCAAGAAAAAAACAATGAAGTAATGTTTAATATGCAGAACAGCACACACATTGCCTGAAATCAAGTAAAACCTAAGGATGGCGCAGAACATTTCGTCGCAGCGCAAGCGGCCAAAGCTCGCGACCCCTCGAGTCGCTGCAAGCAAACGGAACGGCCGCCGCATTTGGCAATGAGCCAAATTTTGTCTTTCATCTTCGTCGTAACTTGATGCCTGGGCTTAGCATGAACACAAAGATTTGTCGATAGAACAATGCCTGTATATTAGAATATTAAATGTTATAAAAATATATTGAAACAGTCTAGAAATTAAATAATGTATCTTGTTGAGAACTCGTAAGAGGGAGCAATATTATTGATGTAACGCAGCACTACTTAAGTTATAGAACTCATTTTCCAGTTAGTAATTAGGAAATTCGTATGATTTAAATAGTGATATGAGGACGGTGTTCAAGATAACAAACGAACCAAATGATCGAATGTCATTGATTTTTGTTGTGAATTCTTCGAATAATCTAAAAATGCTTAGTAATAGCAATGACTATATCAAGTGAAAAATTGTTTGAATTCATAATGATAGTAAGTTGACTATCATTCAACCCTAACCATTTACAGATTACCGCTAATAATTAAATAACACCACCTACTTGAGAATCAACCGAGGATCCAAAAAATTTAAATGAAAATTAGAGTTTGATCAGATATCAGTAGCATTATCATGTAATTATCAAACAAAAAACTAGAGCTTTACATTTCTAGCATTTAGAAACTCCACACAAATCATCAATTGTTTGTCATCTGTCATCTTTTAGCCGGCGGTACCGCTGCTCTAGATTCTGCCAATTTCTTTTAATAATTGGAAGAAGAACTGAACCATAATTCATTATTTAGGACAGTTTACGTGCAGCATAGTCTCTGCCAGTCGTCATTGAATTAGAACTATCCGTGTGCCTATATACTATATGTATCTCCAGCCGAAGCAGTAACGTAACTTCCAAACAGTTCAATTAGTATCTACCTCTGTCAGGTTAGGCAAGCATGCCTTTCAATATCAAATAATATGTAAATTGTGATGGGAGCTATCAAGGTGCACACTCTTAATCAATATTTGTTTAAAAGTATTACCAGAAAATTCCGTGTTTAATCAGTACCAGTCGGTTCTAGTTAAGCTGCTCAGAGCAGGCATGATTATAATTGGATAAAGCTGGATAGCTGTATCATCCAGCCCCTAATTTTGAACTGTATCATGGGTTTCCACAACAGTTTTAAACCATTATTCTATACAATGGTGATTTAGCATCGTTTAATCAAGCAGAATTCGTTAAGAAGCATTAATTTTTAAGTAATTACACCAATTTCGTTACCGCTATGGTAGCCTAATAATCTCGGTAGCTATATATGGTAGCAAGACCACTTATCGACAGCAATAAAGCTCAAGTGATGGCGCCGTACGAACTCACATCGCAGAAGTTTCATGACGCCTGTGTGTGCAAAGTATAAAAGGGAAAATCTCCAAAGCAAGGAACGTCAGACGAACTGCAATCAGTTTTCTCTCCCAGTTGGTGATGTCAGAGTGAGCAAGCCAAGTCAGAACCACTCCAGAAACTAGAGTCCTTTCAGTTTGGAGCACGCAGGAATTATCTCAATTGGATCACAGGGGTTTCAGTGTGTCCATTAAAAAACAATCAAGCAATCGCGTTTACGGGTAGCCGTTTCAAGGGAATATCCGGCCCGATAGCGGTTACTTGGCGAAAAATTCACAACTTCAACCGAACTTGGCTCGCAAATGTTGAATATTTGGAGCAGAAGTTTGATAGATTGAGAACGGCAATCAACTGTTCGTAAAATTTCAGTTCGCAACAAAGTGTGTTATGTCGGAGCACCGAAAGTTTTATAGCTGCGTCGGTATGCGTGGAAATGATCTCGAGTTCCGTGGCCAAGAGGGTCTCTAAAGCGACGATATATACCGAAAGTTACTTGATTATCTTCAATGCATCACTCACTGAATCATCGAAAGGAATTATTTTTAATAATAAATATAAGTAGATTTTATATACTTATATTGTACTGCTTGTAATACATTACTTTGCCAGAGAAGCACAAATATCAAATTTGTTATGTTCATGTTTATTTGTTAAGATATCTTATCATGAAAGGTGAAGTATATTCCGAACTTGTTACCCATTTGCCACTGTTTGCATGCGAACAAACTGGTTTATGTCACCATCACCTTGGTTAGAATTTCCAAGATATTAAATTTGGAATCGAGCTGTCGTGTAAACCTATGAAATTGCTCCGCTATAAATAAACTATAAGAGGGACATATAGAGAGAGCACCCGTATCCCGATTGCATGCTGGTTATGTTCTAAAGTTTTATCACTCTCGCAGACGTGTAACGTGTCCAGAGTGCACATACCCACTTCAATCGAGTACCGTTAACAGAATATTGCAAATTTCATAGCAGGCTAGCAGTATTCAGTTTCTAGAACAGAAGATTGCGATGAGAATGACAGTCCGAGATCTGTTGAGTTCAGGCAATATCTTCGGGGAGTTGATTGAAATCACCTGGAGGAATTCACACATGTAGGCGAACCTGTATATGATAAGAACCATGTTTCTAAAATACAGAAATGAAAGTATATGAAATTACAGGAGGAAATTTTAAGAAAATTAAAATGAATTTATCTTAACTCAAGTTGATTATTAATTTAGGAAGCAATATAGTTATAAGGTCAGAACAAGATACGTAATAACGATTTGGTTTGACATTTTTGTAAAAGGCTGCAGAAATTCAGAAAAATCTGATCAAATCATGTAATAATTTCAATCAAAATTCGAAAAAAATTGCTAGCTTAGGCAATGTTATATTTCGTTAATGTAGCTAATGAGTGCCAGGAGCCGAAAGACTCATTAAGTTGAATGTAGTTTAAATCTGAAATATGAAGTAATCCTGCTTTGTTCAAGTTGGACAAGCAAATAAAAATTAGGATAAGAGATAAAGCGCATTGAAAAGTAGTGCCTCTAGTGATCAAACCTCAAACAATTCAAAGGTTCGACCAACGTGCAAAGATAAAATTCGTCATACACACGTCAAGCAAGTTTTTAATTAATCTGATGTAAGCAGTTCATGCATAATCGGGAAAGTTTTCCATTACATAGACGAACTTCTTAACTACGGTAGTTACTGTAACTAAAGTGACATCATTACAGCCTTTTGAGTGGCTTAGCGAACGCTCACGATAAAAATATTATTGAAAATCCTCGGTGCGAAGAATACCAGAAAAAGCTGCCAGTCAAGGATAATAATTTAGTAATTATTTAATAACGCTTGTCATCCCTCTTATTTTGAGTTTAAGAACTTCCAGTCAACAGAATGAATACAAATGTAATAGGTACGTTAATTGTCGAGACACAGGGGGAACACACTTTTTGAACTAATCTGCGGGAAATTCACAAAAAATTATATGCATAAAAACTTTTTATTTAGTTCTCTCCAGTTATTCAAAGTTATAAATTTTTTACCTAAACCTTATCATTAAAACCCGATGTTTTTTAATTGTTTTAAAGCCCGGATTAACAGTCTGAATCCCATCCCAAATGCGCCTACGCATCAAAATTGATCTGTGTTTATTCTGCGACCAGCAGGCCTGAGCTGAACATTATTCCAGGAGCTCGCATGATGTGAAGCGCGTCTGTGAGCAGTGAGCGAATTCCAGCATTCCAGGCACAAAGGGAATACAGAGCATCTTGGGAGCATTCATGAGCGCATATAACTAGAACCAAGTCTAACGTAACCCACGCTTGAATAATCAACAACCACACGCTCACCATCAATCGTGTGGTTGATAGGTGCATATTATTAACCACAAACTCGCCATCACAAGGGCACCACGACACCCTCACCACCACACGCTCACCACCACACGCTCACCACCACACGCTCACCACCACACCCTCACCACCACACGCTCACCACCACACGCTCACCACCACACGCTCACCACCACACGCTCACCACCACACGCTCACCACCACACGCTCACCACCACACGCTCACCACCACACGCTCACCACCACACGCTCACCACCACACGCTCACCACCACACGCTCACCACCACACGCTCACCACCACACGCTCACCACCACACGCTCACCACCACACGCTCACCACCACACGCTCACCACCACACGCTCACCACCACACGCTCACCACCACACGCTCACCACCACACGCTCACCACCACACGCTCACCACCACACGCTCACCACCACACGCTCACCACCACACGCTCACCACCACACGCTCACCACCACACGCTCACCACCACACGCTCACCACCACACGCTCACCACCACACGCTCACCACCACACGCTCACCACCACACGCTCACCACCACACGCTCACCACCACACGCTCACCACCACACGCTCACCACCACACGCTCACCACCACACGCTCACCACCACACGCTCACCACCACACGCTCACCACCACACGCTCACCACCACACGCTCACCACCACACGCTCACCACCACACGCTCACCACCACACGCTCACCACCACACGCTCACCACCNTTAA